ACAGGCTAATGTGGTGTCACATTTGGAGTGAAAAGTACTTTTCAAAGAAACCCAGGGTGCATGGGTGATGCAGAGGAAGCTGTCAAGTCACCCAATGTGAAGCTCAACACTGCTTTGCAACAGCACTGCCCTTTCACACACATCTTTGGCAAAGACAAAGATGGCAGGCTTTAGTTTCTAAATCAGTAACACTTGACAAGACCTCTTTATGAACTGACAGCAAGAGAACTTAGGAGCAGCTTAGGGTTGGCAAGTGTAGGAGCCAAGAAGAGAAGGGCTGATGGCTATGTCATGAACACTGACAGCTGGATGGTCGTGGAGCTGACCAAGGACTGCCAGATACAAAAGACATCACCCGCTGGACTTGGCCCAAACACCAGCCCCCTCCTCTCCCTTCTCAACCACTCAACCACAGCCTGCACACACCCACACCTGCCAGGGCCAACTGGCTGTTTCTCTTCTCTTTTCTGCCTGGGGGCGAAGGAAGAAGGACAGGGAGGGCATTTGCCTTCGGGCCAGAGGGAAGGGGAAGGAGATCCCCCCAAATCCATCCCTGGCAGGATGGGGGCTGGAGGAGACATTGGGGGACCCCCAAGAATATTTTCGAGGGGAAGAAAGGATGGGGGCACCCACAGGGGGTTGGGGGGGGAGGGACCCAGGAATCTCGTGGTGGGACACTGGGGAGTTCCCAGTAGTTTCTTGGGGGGGTGGACCCCCAGCAGTCCGGGGTGGAAAAATGGACGGAGGAATCCGCCGTAAAGGGTTGGTGACACCCAAAAGACTCTAGGAGGGGGTCGGGAGGGACCCCGGAGTCCTGAAGAGTGTTTGGGGGTCCCCAGGAGGGAGTCTGGGGGTCTGAGGTGGTCCCAGGAGATTTTCAAGGGTTAAGGGGATGCACAGGAGATTTGGGGGACGAGGGGGAAAGGCGGAGGGTCCCCAGGAGTCTTGGGGGGATCTGGGCAGTTCCCGAGAGTCTTGGGGGAGATTCGGAGGGGTCACCAGGAGCCCCCGGACCCCCTGAACTCACCCCACACCACCATGGCCTCGTTGGGGCCGCACGTGAAAAACAGCGCGGCGGGGGGAGACCCTGGGGCCGGGATCGATCGGGACCAATCGGGTTCAATCCCGATCCTCCCCTCCCCCGCCATCACCGCCCCGCTCCCGGCAGCCCCCGTGGAAGTTTCGACGTTCTATTGGGTGACTCACCGGCACAAGGACAGGGGCCCAGCAGAATTTGGCAATGACGTCATTCCAGCAGAGCTGTTCTATTGGCTGCGACCCACGAGGGAGCCCCAAAACCTCTTCATGGCTTGGGGGGGTAAGGACAGCCGGCACAACCGGGAAACCGGGGTGCCGAAGGGTGTTCAAGCCCAGGCAAAAGGGGCAAAAAACTTTCCCCTCTCCCTCCCAGTGCCCCCTCAGCCCATCCCAGTGTCTCCCCTCTCCCCCAGTGCCCCCTCAGCCCATCCCGGTCTCTCCCCTGCTCTCCCAGTGCCCCCGTCCATCGAGGTCCCAGCCCGGCCCTGCCCCCTGCTCTGCTCCGCCCTGGATTTCTCCCCTGCAGGGGCAGCTGAGGCGGCTCCAGGGCGGGCGGGAGCTTTCGGGGCAGGGGTGGCTCCTGACATGCTGCTGGAACCGCCCCTGCCTGGGCGGGCCCGTCAGCCTGGGGCACCTCCTCACCCGAGCCTGGGGGACGGGCCGGCACCTGGGAGGGGCTTTGGGAAGGAATGGGGAGGCTGAGAAGGGGTTGGAGGTCGTGGGGGTAAGTGGGAAGGTGTTTGGGGGAGTTTGGGGGTTTGGGAGGGAGGTTGTGGAGATTGGGGCAGCTGTGAGGGGTTTTGGGGAATCGTCGGGGATGTGGGAAGGAACTGGGAGAGAGTTTGGGGGCATACTCAAGGGGAAGGGGGCAACTAGGAGAGGGTTTGAAAGGCCCTGGGAGGGCTGGAGGTAACTGGGAGGGGTTTGGGGGCATCTTGTGGGTTTTTGTGGGTCTGGGAGGCAGTCTGGGGGCCTCGGAGGGTTTAAGGGGAAGTTGGGAGTGTCCTGTGGGACTGGGATGGGATTTGAGGGTTCCTGGAGGGGCTGGGAGGGCTTTATGCCTTTATACTGCGGGCATTGTCTAGTATTGATGGGGGTAATCTGTGAGTTGACTGTTTCATAATCATCCAAATTTTAACAAGACTTTTAAGGTGGTCAACCTCAGTTTGAAGCAGCTCATTTTTAGCAACAAATTTATCCGATTTTTCTCCTGTTTCAAAGGCTAACGATGACTTCAACACCACATTTTCTGATTTCAAAACAGTAGACTCAACATCAGAAATCCATTCATGACTTCCCTGTCACCACTCCATGCGAATGTCTGTGCACTCACTTTGGCCTGAGAGAAACCTGCCTGTTTGCAGGGCACTGACTGGGCAACTTTTCTTTTTGCGGGTGGAAAAGGGCAGATAAAGAAAAAAACAGATGGGTCCAGCAGAAGTGATGCTGCTTCTTTCAAAGGCAGCGTAGAGGCCGAAAGCACTTTAGGAAGTTGCTTGCAGAAGCACTGTACATTCCAAGTTACAGCTCAGCGGTCTCAGTGACTTGTCCAACATGAGAGCTCCGTTTCCATTTCTCAACCCCCCGATTCCTCAGGAGTAGGAAACTGAAAACACTGACTCAGAAAAGCTCCTTTCCTTCCTAATAATTGTGCTTTGCCCTTCCCATTTGACAGTGCTCTTGGAAATGTGCTGGTGTGATCTGGATCTGGGAGCAGCCCTGACCTCCCACAGCCCTGACCACACACACCTCATCCAACAGCAGGAAGAACCTGTCTGGCTCCTGCTGGGGTTCTCACCACCCACCGACAGCTTCTCCCTGCAGAGGGGTGGGCAACTACCCAGGCAGGATGAGACCTGACCCCAGCAGGCAGCAAAGTCCGTGCCCTGGCACAAAGAACCCCGGAGCACAGGGACCCTGCTCTGCAGGACAGCCCCGGGCATCCCTGGCTGCACCCCCACCTTCCCACCCCGCAGCCATCCCTGGGAGAAGGAGCCCACCTGCGCTGTCCCTCTGACGGTGCTGCAGGGAAGGCCTGCCCTGGAGAACATCCTCCTCCGGAGCAACAGAGAAACTGGGAGAGTCCTGACAGATGTGCAAGGCTGTGGGATGTGGTAGCTTTAGGAGATTCCTCCAGGAACACAAGCGACATTGCCCTGCACCTGTAGACTCACTCTGCAGAGGAGTGTGAAGTTGTGTCCCCAAGTTGTGTCTCAGCTGAACACCTCCCATCTTTCTGCTGCCTTTAACCTCCCTTTGCCTTTCTTCTCTTCTCTCGTGCCTACAGGCAGTGCCCTCGGCCCTGCTGGGCTGTGCAGAGGAGCTGCTCCTGGGCAGAGCTGTCTCTCTGCAGTGCTGCCTGCTTGCCAGGATTTCCCTGTGTGCCAGGAGCCCGGCCCAGCTGAGCAGCACAGCAAGAGCCAAAGGCAGCCCTTTCTCTGCCCCTCTGGGTTCCCCGCAGGTGTCCCTGGGGCTCCAGAGGAACCTGCTGTGGAACAGACTGAAGGAAACAATGATGTTCCCTCTTCTCACCTCTTCAGTGACACTTCTTTCCAGCAGTGACACTTCTTTCCAGCAGTGACACTTCTTTCCAGCAGTGACATTTCTCCTCTTAGAAAATTACCAGGGTATGATGATCACCTTTTCTAGTTTCATCATTACACAGGACACCAGGAGGGTGACGGCAAAGGATCTGGTAACTCCCTGGCACAGTGGGGGTTTTCCTGGAGTCACACAGAGAAATGTGTCAGGGCTCTGAGAGGTGTCCAACGCTGAGCTGGACTGATGCACACACGGGGGTGTTCAGAGACACGAGTCCTTCCCTGGCACACACACAGGCAGTTCATTGCAGCAGGGGCAGTGTCTCCCTGGGCTCCTCCTACCACTCCCAGAGCCTGGAGCCACCTCAACCCTGTAATGCTCCCACCCTGCCCACTCCTACACTTCAGATGAACATTGGGGTTTTCTAGTCACTGGAACTGCCCAGACCAGCCCCTCCCTGGTCCCCCATCTCCCTGCCCCGCCCCAGCCCAGCAGAGCAGCACAGTCGTTTCTCGTCCTGCAGCAAGAAAGGGAGGCAATAGAGGACAGGGACAGTGACTGCATGTCTGGACTGCTCAGGAGATCATCAGCTCAGGTGGCAGCTCCTGCAGCCCCAGGACCAGACCCGCTTCCAAGTGGCCCAGGCAGCTGCTGCCATGTGGGCACAAGCTCTGCTGCCCAGGAGGGTCCAGTAGTGAATGGCTTTGCAGATGGCCACGTAGCGGTCATAGGACATGATGGTGAGAAGGGCAAGCTCCGCTGTGATCAAGAAGAAAAGCAAAAAACACCTGTGCAGCTCACCCTGAGTAGGACATGCCCCTGGTGTTCCAGAGGGAATTGGCCATGGCTTTGGGGAGAGTGGTGCAGATGCAGCCCGGGTGTGTGAGGGAGAGGTGGAGCAGGAAGAAGTCCCTGGGGGGTGTGCAGGTGGTGGTGGCAGGCTACGGCGCTGAGGATGAGGCCGTTGCCCAGGAGGGTAGCCAGGGAGATGCCCAGGAAGAAGCAGAAGTGCAAGAGCTGCAGCCAGGAGGAGGAAGTGGGGGATGGAGCTGCTGTTGGCCATGAGCTTCCTCCGGGCATCAGGAAACGTCCAAGGAGGAAAAGGCAGTGAAAACTTTGGGACAGGTTTCCTAGATCAAACCCATGAATTCCTCTGAGCATCTACCCTCATCCCAAGTATCTGCAGTCACACATATATAGATTCTGGACTGTAGAAGACAGGCTTAGCATGACTTTAAGATGATTTCTTCTCAATTTTTTGATTTATTTTTCTACTGCCAGGTCTGAGAGGGGTATCGTGGAACCAAAGAAACCCTGAGACATTTCAGAATCCCACATGTGTTGGGTCTGTCTGAGCTGGAGTTCATTTTCTCACTGCAGGCGTCACAGTGCTGTGCTTTGCATTGGGAGTTACAAAGGGGTTAATCACACCAGTGCTTTGGCAACTGCTGAGCAGGGCTGGTGCAGCATCTGCATTGTCAGCTTCGTCCCATGAATCGGGGGCAAGATCATGGGAGGCGATACAGACAGGTCAGTTGAGCCAAATGGACCAAAGGGACATTGCAGAATATATGGCGTCAGCTCAGTTACAAGAGCTCAGGAAAGGAACAGGAAAGGGGGAAAATCCATTGTTTTACAATACATGCCTTCTGAGCGGCTTCTCTGTGTGGTGAAACCCTGCTTCCCATGAAGTGGCCAGGTATCGCTGCTGACAGGAAGTAGAGAGAAAAATCTTTTTATTTTCCTCTTCACTTACGCATGCGCAAACTTTGGCTTTTGCTTTAGTAAAGTGCCTGATCTCAAGGTAGAAATAATTTTCCATCTTATTCTGTCTCTTCTGTCTGGCTGGGAAGGGCAGCAATAGAGCAGCTTGGTGGGCACCTGGCATCCAGGTAAGGTCAACCCACTGCAACATTGCAGGGTCTCATGGAACCAAAGGACTGCTGGGAGACTGGGGGAACTCATGGAATCAAGTGGCCGTCGTGGCACTGCCCTGCCTCATAGAAGCAAATGTTCCCTGGGAAACTACAGAAACCAGGGACTTAAGGGACATCATTGGGATGTGCGGGACCTCATGGAATTAAACAAACCGTGGGATATCTTTGGAACTTCATGGAATCAAAGGGATAGGAATCAAAGGGATAAAACAAAAGAATTAAACCCCATGACCAGAAACCATTGGATCGAACATTTCTTTAATATGCCAGCTGGGGATTCATGGGGGTACTCTGCCATGCATGAATCAAAGAATCAGTATAAATTTCAGAGTATAAATACAGTGATACTTGAAAGACCCTCCCCTTCACAAGCAGTCCAAAATTCTCTTCTGATTTTAGGGTCAAATAGCCTCTTGGATTTTATTCGTGGAGCAAGACTGCCATCTAGCGTCCATTTTTTCTGGGAGGGGTAGTCATTTTCACAGAGTGGTCTTCTCCCTTAGCAGGCCTCGTAGCATCTCTGATTGATCTATCCGATCCCTAACCCCTAAACTAAATGCTTTAGGACCAGCTAAGACGTGTCTTAGAACTTCCCATTTGCTTAAACAATGTAAGACTTTCTTCTTAACAGAACAATCTCTTATTAAACAAGTTTTCTGAGGCCTGTAAGCTAATTTCTTGAAGATGGGCATATGATACACTCTCTATTAGTTTCCATGTATCATCTACATTCTCTCTCCTACAACTAATTGTAGTCTTAAAAGAAAAGAAAAGACTGCTACCATGCCAAGAAAGCAAAACCCTTTGTTGATTAGGATTTTTATCTAAGAAAAACTTCTGATTTACGAAGCCATTAAGGATGGAGATCCTCTCTCATTTCAGTGCCATTGTGACAATATGGGGCCTCATGGAACACATGGAACACAGAACACTGCACATTCCCAAGCAATCAAGGGGCCATTGTAACACTCCAGGGCCTCATGGAAGACGGAGGCCCCGCAGAGAGACCTCAAATCAGAGGTTTGGGCAATCCTCAACCAGAGGAAGTTCAACAAGGGGAAGTGCCAGATTTTGTCCCTGTGATGGGGCAACCCCGAATGTCCGGACAGACTGGGAATGATATTCTGCATAGCAGCGCTGGAAAATGGCCTCTGGGGTCCTGGTGGATGGCCAGTTGGCCAAGAGTCAGTGGTGCTCTGGCGGGGGCTCACTGCTCGGTCACAGGAGGGTTTTCAGACACACGAGTCCTTCGCTTGCACACAGACACAGACAGTTCATGGCAGCAGGGGCAGTATCTCCTGGGGTTCCTGCCGCCACGCCAGGAGCCTGGATGCACCTAAGCCCTTGTGGGGTGCCACCTGCTCTGCCACTATCTGAGATGCCCCACCGCCTGAGAGATGGAAACGAGGAGCTCTGTCCAAGAGAAGCACATCCCAGAGCTGCACGCATGGGCTTTGCCGGGATTTAGAACCGTAAATGCAATGTGACACCAAGACACTCTTTGTCCCACATAACTTCACGGTCTCCCCAGGAGGTTGATGGCAATTGTTCTTGCTCAGGGTCATCTCCCCACACCAACAGCAGGTGTGTGCTCAAGACTTGTCTGTGCAATGCAAACAGATACACGCTGTCTAGTTCTTCCGGTCTCTCCAAGGAAGGCAAAAGAATCTCTGTGTGCCGGGTGAGAAGCCAGTGCTGGAAGTTGTGGTTCTATTGTGAGTGCCAAGAGCAGATGGCAGGTCTGTGATGAATGCCCTGAGGAGATGACCTGGGTTTTCCAGTGCACATGGCAATAGATCACACCCTGCTTTGGTGGTCATTTATGTCCTTCGGAGGTGACAGAGATGGGAAAGAGAATGAAATTTTTGAATGTGCCTCTGAGTGCCCCTCAACCTGCTGCAAATGTGCAGATTCCAGTACATCCAGTTCAGGTGTGAGAGGCTGTTCCCTGGTCCTCTGAGCAAGAAGAGCTGGACGAGGGGACACAGCAGAACTCGCTTACTGAGACTGCATCTCCATGAATCCCAAAGCAAGTGCGAGGGGTTATGCCACATCCGAGTTTTCTCAGGGGAAGGTGTTTCTCCCATACATTGCCTCCCTGTGGCACTGGTGCCACAGCCCCCGAGAAAACCACAAGTGGTCTTTGTGTCTAGCAAAAGTGCTCCTACTGCTAGCAGGGATGTTCCACGGGAAAGGCCAGGAGAGGTTGAGCCCGGAGGGCACTGAACCCGGAGGGATGTTCTGCCTGTCATGCCCCTCGACCATTCTCTCAAGCGCTTGCCCTGGAGGACAATTCAGGAGTCTCCACGTACCAAAAGAGAGATGGGAGGGAAGAGACGATGGTGGTGTAAGAAGCACATGGCCTGTCAATCTGAAGATCCTCGATACCAAACACCACCCCTGCCACCCAACCCGGCCCCGCCGGTTC